CAAATATAATAACATTAATCTGCATTCAAGTTATACATTACAACTATTCCTACCCTCAGAACCCGATATTGTGTACGAGATATCACTTAAGATGTCATTTGAAGAGTACCTTGTGTTTGTGGGATCGCTTGTGGGCCTATGGTTTGGTGTTTCGGTCCTTATGTTCGCTAATCTATTCATACAATTATTTATTAAATATAAACCTTATATTTATAATAAATGGAAAACAAATAATACAACAAACAATACAACGCTATTTACTGTAACTAATATAAATTTAAATGTTATTCCTAAACGACCTCGTGTGGCCAGCGCTTTCACTTAATATTTAATTATAATTTAGTATAATTACAAGTATATTGTTATTTAACAAAGCTGCAAATTGAACCAAGTTTAGATTGAACCATTTGTTATTTTTTACAAGCGTTTGTATCACATAGGCTACAGCAATGACCAGACTATATTTAGTTTCAGTAAGAGTATTAAAAGTTATTAATTTTTACAACAGGTATTGTGATAAAAATATGTTTAAGTTATGTGTTTTTAAACTGTTTTACAAATGTTGTCAAGTAATTAACAAATTTAAATAGATTTAGTAAAACAATTCGATCGAATAAGCTAGATAATCAATCATATAAAAATTATATGAACGCCGAATTATTAACAATTCATAATAATGTAGAGACCCGAATGGTCTCTAAGGTTCGGGTCTGGTCAGGTCACTCTCACACAATTATTATTTAACATTAAAATAAAGTTTTATTCAATTCAAAAGCAAAAGCATTACAAACTGTGATAATAATCACTAATCATTAAAATACATTATAAGCAAAACTCTGTGATAAAATCATTGTTAAAGCCAAGCGTTAATGCCGGCGACCAATACTCAAGTGAATGCAATTAAGCAATTGCTGTGATATATATCGATAGAGATTACATAATGTGATAAAATGTGTAAAGGGATAGGAATTTGTATTTATCATTTAATTCATAAACGTTCATTTGTGAACACATTATTGTGTTCAGATAACTTTCAATACATTACAATATTCAATCAAAACAATTAATTACATCCGATTCCTACAATAATAATGGACATCAATTGCTTTCTGAATCTGTTACCAATGTTGTTGACAAAATTTCATGAAAAGATTATTATAGGTTTAGTGTCATTTGTATAATATTCTAATGTATAATTATTGTGCTTTAATTGATTAAACATTAATTCTCGAATTTTCATAAATTGACTGTTTTGCCCCGCCCGGTGGGCACTTTTACTTCCAAATAATTTCTGCTTTAGTTGTTTTTATGGGATAATGTTTTTTTTGTGACAAATATAAAGAATACAATGATAAACATATTAAAAATATCCTTACAATATAAGTGAAAAACTTAAACTCAATGATGCACACCCGAATTGTGGTTAGCGAATAGCATCGTTGTGAGAACCATGTTATACCGCTCTTGTAGGCACTGATTTTTCAATCACTAGTCACTAACTTAATTAACTAGCTTTCCATATGTTATAACCGCCATTAATACTATCATAACAAAGTTAAAATGAATAAGTTGATATTACTGTTGAGCGCAATGGTTTTATTATCATTGGTGCCTGGTCATTGTCAAATGCCACTCGATAAATACGAGATTAAAAAACTGAGAGCAAAACTATGTAACGAACTGAAATTGTCCCAGAAAGATTGCCATATCAAGAAATGCACTATCCGTGAAAAAAACAACAAATGGGAACCTATCTGTCCAAGTTCTTATTATTGAGATATTGCACCCCTTATTGCAAATTCCTACAAATAATATACTATGTTATAAGTTATTGTTTTGTTATTAATATAAAAATAATTGTATTTCTATTTTTAAAAAAAATATTATTAAAATTTAAAATATTTGTTTTAATACAAAACTTGTGTTTGAATTAATAGGTTTTTTAAATTAAGAATCAGTTCAAAAATAAATATCCAATTTTTTTAACACCAATCAAGATAATTTGATTCTGCCATATGACACACATGGGAGGAGTTGTGTCCTCGGAGTGCTCCTCCACTCGGGTGCGCCCCAAAGGGCTGACGGCGATCGACCCCCACCTGCGGCCGACCATACGCTGGATCTGACTCTGGAAGTGATCAGACTTTTGAATTATGTGTCGCTATTGGATCTGAATGTGGTTCAGGTATGTGTGACCTGTGCTGTGCTGTCCTATCAGTTCGTTTGGACTAACAATTTGTGGATATTTTGCTAATTATTATTGTTGCTATGTTTTTATACTTTGTTTTGGGCGGCAAAGGGCTGTCACTACATTAATGTAATTTTTTATTCAATTGATAATAAAATACTTGTTTTATATTTGAATGATTGCTAATCGGATGACCGAAACACTCAGTGATTGCATGTATCATAAAATACTGTCTAAATTATAGTTATTATCAAGCTTGGGAATTTTGCTACTTTGATCACGGCATATGTTGTAAAATGTTTTAAAACAAAAATTAATAATAAAGTAATAAATTTGAAAATAACAATTAAAGTAATCAAATTTATTTATTATAACTTATTATCATATATTGTATAAAATATTTTAGTTATCAAATCCTTGTCTCCAATAGTTTTCACTGATTATAGCAATAAAACTATTTATTTAATTGTTATAAACTATAATATATTTAATATATATTGTAATTGTATTTAAATATTTGTTAAAATGTGTGAATTAATGGACAAATTTACAGTTTGTCATAAAATCCCAATAAATATTAGACAAAATATTACAAAAATACATGTTTTTAAAGATTGGAGTAATGGATATAATGTATTATTTGTGACAAACAATGATATGGTCTATGGTTTGGGCACTAATAGAGATGGAATTCTGGGTTTTGGACACAACAGTCCTATACTATCACCAGAAATAATACCACAATTATGTCATCAAAACATACAATATTTTGTCAATGGCATGGGATTTGTGTTAGCAGTGAATGATATAAATAGAATATATGGGTTTGGGTGTAATGAGCATGGACAATTGGCCCGTAATATAAAACTAAACAATAAAACAGTTTATTATAAACCAGAGATTATATCATATTTTAATAAGAAAAACATCCAACAAATTAGTTGTGGTACTCAACACACTCTGGCCCTCACAAGTGATGGTCGGGTCTACGCCTGGGGTGAGAATGGTTACGGACAAATTGGTTGTGGAAATTGTGATAATATTTATACACCGATTGAAATACAGTTCAATAATAATTATAAAATACAATCCATTTATTGCTATGGATTCTCTTCATTTGTCATCACATCTGATGGATATGTCTTCAGTTGGGGTTATAATAGTGACCATATATTGGGACACAGTATAACTGACGAGAAAGTATTACAACCTCGATTAATATTATACTTAATTGATATGAAAACAATTAATTGTTGTCATTTTGGGACATATTTTCTGACAACAAATGGTTTATATTTTTGTGGAAAATATTATAAAAACAGTAAAGATATGATTGAAATAAGTCCAAAACAAATACTATCTGAACATCACTTCCAAACATTACCACAAATTCATTCATACATGTATATCGGGAATGATTTCATCTGTGTTTTAATAAACGATAAAATATATAAAATATCAAAAAACCACAATATAATTGAAACAAATTATAATAATTTTATTGACTTTTACGCCAATGAATGCCAAACAACTTATAATACAATTAATTTAAAAGAAATCAGCAATAAGTCAAGTAATGGTAAGCATGAAACCAAAGTCAAACCAATACATTATACAGTGCAACTTCTCTATAATGAACGGCCAGTTGCACGACAAAAGTGTTTGTTATAGGGAGGGTTCATCCAAGGGAGGTTCGAGTAAAAATGTCTTAATTTTAATGAATATTTATAAATAATAGCAATTATTGAAAATAATCAGTAATTTTAGTTTGTTTAGCTTTAAGTGACTTTTAATTATAGGGAGGGTTCATCCAAGGGAGGTTCGAGTAAAAATGTCTTAATTTTAATGAATATTTATAAATAATAGCAATTATTGAAAATAATCAGTAATTTTAGTTTGTTTAGCTTTAAGTGACTTTTAAGTGACAATTAAATGCATTAGTTTTAATTTTGTCCAATTGTTCAAATATTTGAGCATCGGATGCGTCTCTAGATACAAAGTAATAATTTAAAGTTCACTAATCAAAGAATGAATACACATTTCTTACAATATTGAATGAAACTTGATATAAAAATGTGATTTTGTTTGCTTAAAGTCTTAGATTAGAAACTATTTTAAATATTTTTAGGAATCATGTACTTATTATTATATTTGTTCATTATTGGGAGTGGAAGTTTTATCTTAATCTCTATAAATTCGTTCATAATGGGGAGGTATTCATTATGGAGAAGTTTACCTAAGGGAGGTTATTTTTACATTATTAGTATAGGAAATCCAACATAAATTTCAAAACCGTTCATTATGAGGAGGTGTTCATCCAAGAGAAGTTAACCCAAGGGAAGTTGCACTGTATTTACATTATATAATATTAAAATTCATTTCACAGATGATAAATATATAACAGACAAAATAGACAATACAATTAATACTAATATTTATGATGATTCATATGATGGAAAAAATGAAACAATTTTTGCAAAAATTTTAAAGATATTTAGTGGAAATCGCAAAACAAGTTCAGAGCAAACAACTGGTAATTTGATTGCATTTTTAAACATAATATAAAATTAATGATTAATTTGTTATTTTGTTGTGAAGACAAACGACAGACACGTTTTACACAATTAAATCTAAATCTAAAACAAAGAGAACTACAATCAACACCCATTTTAATGCACAATAGCAATTCCAACCATAGTAGTTTAGTTAATATAGCGATGGGCAGTCATGGCAAAGGTATAAAAGCTCTGAAAACAATTTATATTCAAATTATAATAAGTTTATAAATATTGTATTTATGTTACAAATAGACAAACCACAGACACTCTCGACTGTAACACAACACAAACACACGAATCACACTATAATTAATGCCGATAATGCAGACTACCATGTTACTTTCAGTGATGGTAACTATAAAACCCAATTCATTGAGATGTCAGCCATAGGTTTGGGTGGTTTTGGGACTGTATTTAAAGTAAGGCATAGATTGGATGATAAGATATATGCCGTTAAAAGAGTACAATTTGGGGGTAAATTCAATGAATATTTGTTTTGAAATTATTTCATTAAATATTTTCACAGATTTTAGTGAAGAAAAGAAACAAAAAGTATTAAAAGAAGTGAAAAGTTTGGCAAAACTGGACTCAAATTTTGTAGTCAAGTATTACAACTCATGGCTTGAGTCCAATCATCTCTTCATTCAAATGGAGTTCTGTTCACAAAATCTCAAATCTGTTCTCAAAGACAAACCCATTGTCTTCGAGAGACAACCGGAAGAAGAGATGAATGTCTTTGAGTTTTTCATTTCATGTGAAATATTTAAACAACTCTTAGAATGCGTTGAATATCTTCATGAATCAAATCCACGAGTCATTCATCGGGATCTCAAACCCGACAACATTTTAATTAATCCCAACTTTAAGTGCAATCGTTGTGTAAAACTGTGTGACTTTGGTTTAGCCACCGAACACGACCCCCAACTTCCCACTCCGCGCCGATACGAGCACTCATTTGTGGGCACTTTGAGATATATCGCACCCGAAGTATACACTCGTAGGAAATATAACCACAAATCAGACATTTATAGTCTCTCTCTAATCGGCGAAGAGATCTTTAACGTAGATTTACAGCCGTAAGTGTTTTTGTGCAATATATTTGTGTGAAATTACATGCTTATAATCTACAAACTATCATGGTATAATTATTTAAAAACGTAATTCTGTTTGTCTTATATTTAGATCGACATCATTTTTATCACAAAAATCGCTGTTTAAATTATCGATCATATGTTTATAAAAGACATTGCAGTCAATGATAAACAATGAGTTTAGGCAAAGGCCTGAGTGTCTGCAAGTGTTGGCTAAATATAACGAGTGGTCTATCGATAAAACTATTGTCACAAAAGATAGGCATTTTAATAAAGTGTTGGATAAACTGAAAGCTAATGATAATTCAATTTTCTATGAGATTTTAATGTGTAAATTAAATAATACTCAAGTGTCAGTACAAGTGTTCCCTCGTATACAACGCCCACCCGTTTATAGTAATAATTATCTAAATACTAATAATTTATATATAATAATAATGTGCATTATTATTGGATTTGTAATTAATTCGTTATATGTTACTATTTTATAACCATAATGTAATTAATTCTCATAAATATTCTGTTATAAATTAGAAAATAAACGTCACATAAGAATCTAATAATAAAATATACATTGAAAATATATATTAAAAGTATTCTTTATGCTAATTGTCAGTAAATTCATACCATGTTAGTTATTATAGCACTTTATACTGTTTATGTCTAAATTAATCGTAGAGTCGGTCAAATATTAACCACAATTTATATGGCCTTTATGTATGCAATAATTAACACGTGTATCAAATTATAGACCTGTTTAGAGTTAGTTATGAGTTACTGTCAAACTTAACCATACATTACATCAAACAAATCAGACGAATATGATACATTTTGTCTATTAATTACATAGCAATTAGTATTAATTATATAAATATCTATTAATTGTTAGTCAACTATTGTTAACAATACTACCATTCTATAACACAGCTAGACTGACCAGATGAGTTTGTAACATTCCTGGATTTTAGGCAAAAATCAGCCCTATTATCCTGGATTCCTGGACATTTTAGTAATTGTAGCTATATCTTTTTGGACGCTTCCATAGAGATAATGTTTAAATAATTTTTAAAATTCTAGACAGGCCATCTAATTCCGGGACAATCCAGGCCATTTCTGGACATCTGGTCAGTCTAAACACAACAGACCATTGCTTATTACATTGTATAACATATAGTACTGTAACTGTACTGTAAATGCTGTGTTAGTCTGTGATATCATTAATAAGAAAATCTCATAATCGTTTTACAATTCTCTCTCTCTCTCTCTCTCTCTCTCTCTCTCTCTCGCTTTCTTTGTTTGGCATTAAGACAACGCAATCAATACAAACAAATGTCAAAATCAATTCATGTAATGTTTAATTTAATAATAACTACATCATAATAATTGTACATCCGTATAATTTGTAAATTTTGATAAACTAATAAAGTTGTCATATAATATCCGATACAAACATATTATGCATGTCATGAATACTGATTCCTTGACGTCAAATGATTGAGATATAAGTATTTATACAAAATATAAGTTATAATCAAATAATATTTTCTCGTGACCGCTAAGCCTTTTGCACTCACAGACCCTCAACTGTCCTCAACATAATCCGTTTACCAGGAATTCAAGCACCAGTCCTCTCACCAACACATACCATAACCCCATTCCCATACAGTAACCACTTTCATAGCATTCAAACCCACAGCAACAGCACCCAACTAATCACAGCCAACCCTTTCCAACGGTTCTCATCACAGGACCGGATGGAAACGCATACAAAACACACCACAAGCACCCAACTATTCATCAGTTGGTGTTCAGCACAGACAGCAAACACTTCAAGTCCTCACAAAGACTTCACCACCAAACCAATCCATTCATAACCACTTTTCATATGTATTGTTATACCAAATAAATATCTAGTTAGATTGTTATACACAATGTACTTCTTCATCAACATCATCACCAAAGCGGTTCCAGCAGAGTTCCGTTCAACTGATTCACACTCGAGACTACAGGTGAAGTGCATAGTTGGTAACCGCTATTCATATAAGCGATTACCGATTACATCAACCCTCGGTTCACATCACTATTTGTCCGTAATCGTTGACCATCGGTTCCCGTTCTCACATCGAACGGCCGAACTGATAGTATCGCCACCGCTTGGCAGCGATACAACACCATACGGTTACGACAATTTAAAATATTGCATTAATGTAAACAAAATCTCATGCCTGAAGATCGATAGCACACTATTTTTTCAGATTAAAGAGAGTATAAACGTCTGATTGGTCTAATAGATTGTTATAATTACCATAATTTGTCTTAACATTCAATTTAGTGAAAAATGTTATTCAAACTAAATTAACAGATTTTGCATTGAAAACACTATTATTGTGTAATTATAATTATATTCTGCATACATGTATAGTATAATATGTACAGTACATATACTTTGCATGCTATTCACAAGAGTTTTGTATGAATTGCATAAACTTTAAGCAATCTAGTTTTAGAGTTATCATACTGTATATGTTATCTACCCCGTCAACAAAACTTGACCGGACGGTTTTCGTGATTACATCTAAACTAGACGAGCTAGATCTAATCTGTAAAGCCTAAAATGAAGATCAATATGTCTAGTTTTTTATATCAAAATTTTATTGAAATCACGTGACTAGAACATAGAAATTTTTGGGTCATTTCGAAATGCCATGGTTTTAGCCCACTTGGAAGGGGGGTCAGGAGGGGGCGAGTATCCTATTCGGAAGAGGAGATGTCAAAGAATATTATAGCAAAGTTTCATAAACATCAAATAAATAGATATTTGTAACGAACAATATATTCAAGAAATTTGATACAATATTTGGACAAAATTAGCCCAATTTTGACTATTTTATACTATAGTCATTTTAGTAGTTGAAAAAGTTCAACTCCAGAACAATTGTTCCCCATAGACCTAATGTTAATGAAATCATCAATTTCTCATAGATGACTGAACTAATATTAACCAAATTTTGCTATAATATTTTTTGACATCTCCTCTTTCGAATAGGATACTCGCCCCCTCCTGACCCCCCCTTTCAAGTGGGCTAAAACCATGGCATTTCGAAATGACCCTAAAATTTCTATGTTCTAGTCACGTGATTTCAATAAAATTTTGATATAAAAAACTAGACATATGGACCTTCATTTTAGGCTTTACAGATTAGATCTAGCTCGTCTAGTTTAGATGTAATCATAAAAAC